AATTAATCACGTTACGCGCAACGAAATTAAAAACACGACGAGATTCACGACGGCGCGTTCGATAGCTCGCAACTTTTTCTCTCTCGCGTCACATTGTGAAAGGAATAAATCACCGCCGATTTTTCATTTTTCTCTTCTTCTTCTTTTGACGCCGAAATATTTTTATGACGGAACATTTATATGTCTTTTTAGTTTAGAAAGAAATAAAAAAAAAGGAAGAGCTCGCTGCTCGTATTTTGTATCGTTTGAACAAATCAAGTATTATTCACACGCGTAATTTATCGCGGTGCATTTGATTGAATTTGACTGAAGTCCAAAAATATATTCAGAACACAAAACGTTGCGTATACAAGCGTGCCTTATTCGTCGAATATTTTCGTTCGTATTCGTATTTGTGCATAAATTTTTCGTAACTTTTTTTTTTTATTATCATTTTTTTATTATCTGCTCTCAAGGCAAGGGTTACAGAAGAAACTTTCGTAAGTTTAATTTGAAATTAGAAATGAACGAGAAGTAAATTCTAGAGAGTCTAGAAACCTAATTAAGTTAAATTGAGATAACAGAGTCCGATACGTTTGGGCGCAAATTGTTTCTGAAATTTGCATTTCAAGTCTCTGTCATTCTCTGACTTTTTCAAGTAAAAATTGAACCAGCTGTCCCAGATATTTCGTGCATCTTTCACAAATTTCGAACCTTCAGTCAGGCCCCCCTTTTCAGTCCTTCTTTTTTTTTCATTTCTCGTTCATTCCAATACGTGTTCCGTATATTTTTATTGCAGCACAGCCGGTTGGAGAATACAATAGTATACGTTTTTTTAATAGCAATTATGTCGACACGTTACTACGAGTTGAAAAAAAAAAAAAAATGTATAACCGAAGAGCACGAAGATGAAAAGAAATTGTCCTGTATCGCGGATATGGTAATAGTCTTTAATTCGATGGAAATTTTTTTTTTTCCCTTTAATCGATCTAACGAACGATAGCACGATTCAGAAAGGAAACAGTGTGAAATTGTTTGCCACCTACGGAGGTTTTTAGTTACTTCAAGGTACTCTTCTCCTGTATATTCTCGCTGACAAGTGCTCGGAGGGAGGGACCGGAAGTCCTCCCGAGTGAACTTGGAAAGCACCGGTAGCATGTTGCCACGTATACCTCTCTCTGCACTCTCTAACGAAAGTAGACGTTGTAGCGATACTGGTAAACAAGTTCCTTTCAAAAAAGGAACGTCTTTTGTAAATATTTCTTTTCAGTTTCTTTCACGGAAAAAAAAAAATGGAGACACAGAGACTTGGCTCGGCCGGCCTTTGTCGACTTTCCTTCAATTTCGTCCTTCTACGCGCGTTCGATGTATCCTTTGTAGTCGTAGATGATAACTTTAGAGCTCGAAGAGTCGGTGCGAGACAAAACGCGTACGTTGTTATATCGTCAAGAGAATTTTTCAAAGTTGCATCATTGCACAGACTTATATAGATGTTGTGAACAGTAAAATTTAATATATAGGCTCAGTTTAGTATTTGTCAAATTAATATTTTTCACATTTGACATTTTCATACCGAATCGAGAGAGTGGAAAAGGTTCATAAAAGGAGTGGATTATAAAAGTGCTACGGAAAGCACAAATTTGTTTAGGAAAGCAATTTTTTTTTCCAACTACCAACACAGTGGTTCGAAATATTTTAAAAGACAAAGCCTGCAAAGTGAAATTTTGCAAAAATCAGCCCTTTCGAATTGTGTCAAAAAATCTCTTACAATCAGTGTAATTTGAACGCTGTTAAATTACAAAAAAACTATTGTTTCGATTAACTTGATTAATTTATCATTCGCGCCAAAAAATAAAAAACAAAAAATTGGCCCTCGAATTGTCCCGCGTTTGTAAGTGCTTTTCTTTTTCTCTTCTCGAGAACGAGAACAACTGACGAAGTAAAAATCTTGCACCCGCGCTTCGTTTTTCTTTTCATCCCTTCTATCGTTAATGGCTGTTGTTATTCTCATCTCTGCACGCTCTTTCAATTTAATCTCTCTCCCCATGGCTTTTGTCGCCGCCCGGAATTGTCTGTTTCTGCGGGACAACACGCGCGAACGCATACGAAAAGTAATCGACTCCTTGCAGAACGAATTAATTCTCCGTTTTTTTTTTTATTTTTTTTTTTTATTTCCCTACAACGCGACTTCTACAACGGAGAACTGATCTTAACTATTTGTTCGTTCGCAGCTTGTTCGCGTAACTCTGCAACTCTGTACATATAATACATACATGTACATATGTATGCATAATTGCGTAACTTGTATATTTATGTGCGTGTATAGTCTCCTCGGGGATTAAAGAGAGAACTTTTTATTTTCCGCTGTTACGTGACGTTCGTTGAACATTTACGAACGTTTTTTTTTCTCTTTGAGAATATTTCGAGTTGAAATGGTACCTCGTTGCGCGAGTCTCGTCATCGAACATTGAGATAATCTCGTAACGCGAGTTTCAAGTTCTGAAGGATCAGAGTCTTTGCTATTCGTGGAATCGATCATCACGGTGATACCAACAATCGATTCCTTCTATTTTTAACCATCGATGGCAAAAACTTTACTCGTGCAAGTAATGTCGTTCATAAATCATCGCGCAGTAATGATTCAGTTCATAATTGTATCAAATTTGCATCACGTTGGACAGTGAGACTTTGACATTTATTGTACATTACGTACTTTGAACATTTTATACATTTTTGCCTATCATCCGTATGTACGTTTTATGCGCTTTTACACGTGGAAATTCTCCATTTTGAAAAGCTATTTCGCGCTGCATAATAATTTTTTTTCTCTCTTATTATCAAGCGTGTATACGTTTTTTTTTAATTAAATGTTTCGTAACTTTCATCTTACAATCATCCCTTTGTTGATTTCTTTTAATACGATTGTGACACGTTTCGTTACAGCGTGAGTTCTAAAATATCTTGCACACACGATGTAAAAAAGTCTTTAAGTAAAACTTTCACGAGCCAGCATACGCGTGTAGCGAACTCTAATTTCGTTGAATCTCTTCCGCGGTAGATCGCAGTGCTTCTTGGCGAACATTTTACACAAAAGCGCGGGGGAAAAAAGAAATTGCCGACGCGGTAACGCGTTCGTGAATGCTCGGAGATAACGACGTTATAATGTGACCTCTTACCGACGAAATTACCGAGCCAAAAGAAAAGAAAAGAAAAGGAAAAAGAGGAAATAAAGCAAGAACCATGTGAATTATTGCCCGATTGCAAGTTATTAATGATTAATTCCCAAACTTATCTCGGCTGCCTGTTACTCGGTCGCTGGTGTGTGCCTTCGCGAATTTATAACTCTTGTAATAAGAGTGATTTATCACTGGGCCAACGGAAAGACCGATAAACGAAAGGAAGTCGAAGTAAGAGAAGAGAGGAAAAAAAAAAAACAAAAAAAGCAGCTGCGGCTTTCGTTTGCAATTTATTTAGAACGTTCTTGCCGCGTAGGATGACGTTTGATTCTCGACGAGTGGCATCACGGAAACAGAAATGGCTGCAGTAATTCCAAAAAACAAATCACAAAGTATAATGTTACAATTATTATAGTATAGCATTAAAATTGTAAGGTATGCTCAAAAAAATTCAAGATTCCGGATTAACAATAAAATTCAGAGTCAAATTAAGTACTGTGAAACCGAAATTTTATGCAATATTTGCAAATATTAAAATGATTACAGTATAGTATAGCATTAAAATTATAAAGTATACTGAAAAAAATTCAAAATTCCGAATTCTAGATTAACAATTAAAATTCAAAGCCAAATTAAGCACTGTGAAACCGAAATTATTACAATTTTTTCAAAATTAAAATTATTACAGTATAGTATAATACAAGCATTAAAATTATAAAGTATACTGAAAAAAATTCAAGATTCTGAAATGTAGATTAAAAACAAAATTCAAAGCTAAATTAAGCACTGTAAAACCGAAATTATTACAATTTTTGCAAAATTAAAATTATTACCGTATAATATAGTACAGTAGAGTACAGTATAATCTAGCATTAAAATCATAAAGTATACTGAAAAAAATTCAAGATTCTGAATTCTAGATTAACAACAAAATTCAAAGCCAAATTAAGCACTGTGAAACCGAAATTATTGCAATTTTTGCAAAATTAAAATTATAAAGTATGAAAAAAATTCAAGATTCTGAATTCTAGATTAACAACAAAATTCAAAGCCAAATTAAGCACTGTGAAACCGAAATTATTACAATTTTTTCAAAATTAAAATTATTACAGTATAGTATAATACAAGCATTAAAATTATAAAGTATACTGAAAAAAATTCAAGATTCTGAAATGTAGATTAAAAACAAAATTTAAAGCCAAATTAAGCACTGTGAAACCGAAATTATTGCAATTTTTGCAAAATTAAAATTATTACCGTATAATATAGTACAGTAGAGTACAGTATAATCTAGCATTAAAATCATAAAGTATACTGAAAAAAATTCAAGATTCTGAATTCTAGATTAACAACAAAATTCAAAGCCAAATTAAGCACTGTGAAACCGAAATTATTGCAATTTTTGCAAAATTAAAATTATAAAGTATGAAAAAAATTCAAGATTCTGAATTCTAGATTAACAACAAAATTCAAAGCCAAATTAAGCGCTGTGAAACGGAAATTTTTCCAAAAATTCCCAATGTTCGATGACGCTTCGAATCAGAACGATCGAGTAGTCGTTCAACGAGGCACTATTGCGGAAATTCTCGCGCTCGTTGATTCTACACAGGTACCAGAGATCGAATAAAGTGCAAAAATTCGCAAGAATCACGACCATGAGTCGCGATGACAGAAAGAGACAAAAAGGTAAAAAAAAAAAAAAAAAAAAAAAAAAAAAATTGAAGGAGCATGGTAGTAGAAAATCGCAGAGAGCCGAGCTCGTTCGAGGAAAGGAGACCGGGCTTTTCTCCCCGGTGTCGGCACGGTGAATAATTCTGGTGCGGAAGTGATGTAAATTGTTCTCAGGTGTTACGATAAGGTGCACTTCTTCCCGGCGCCCGAGTACTCGGTATGGTGCGAAGCGAATAGCACGCTGTACAGTCCAGGTGGCGTGGAATACGTGGTCGACTGCTGCGACCATTTCGACTTCTGCAATCGCAACCTAACGCCCTCTTTTCCTCCGAGAGGTGGGCCATACTCCCGATTACCTCTGACGAGGTACAACTTTCTCGCGACGTCTGCTTCCTTTCAAGGTCGATGCCGCGAAAACTCGCGACGTTTCTACGAAATTTGTTTCCCCGCGCTTGTCGAGTCTTTCATCGACAAAATCTTTCTTTCTTTCTTTCTTTCTTTCTTTCTTTCTTTCAGTCGAAGTTGAAAGTTACATCTGTCAGCTTCTGTAATTTGCAGATTGTAATTTATCATCTGGAGATTCTACGCGCGGCGGTTTATAATAATTTTTGACGTTTCGTTTGAGAAATTCTCGCCTCTCTGCTGGTTTCTGTAGGTTGACTATTTTCTAAACACGCGAAATTGTCATTTTTCTCCTTCTACTTACATTAGATTTCATTCTACGGAATCGAACTACTTGTATTTTGAGCGGCTACGAAAATAAAATACACGTAGTACAAAAATGTGTGACACACGCACAACTACTTTGATTGATAGTTTGTTAAATATTATGCACTCGCGAGCAGCTGGTTCGTCAATTAAAATTGACCGTCAATAAACTCCAAAGGGAAATGATTGAAACGTGGGTTTTGAATGTTCGTTTCATTTTGTATTTCCGCGTAGGTGTGTAGCGAGTCGTGTTTCGATATCCAATATTCAATTCATTTGATCTCGATGAAAGAATTTTTCACGAGGTTGAAGGCACGAGCTGGAGTTTGTTGTTCTTTCTCTCAAATAAAAGCCACGGTAATTGGCCCTTTGAAATATATATATATTTCTTTCTCTCTCTCTCTCTCTCTCTCTCTCTCTCTGGTAGAAATTGTACGTTCTTCGTTCGGACGAAACCGGAGAAAAGAAAGCAAAAGGGAATACAGAGAGTAACGAGACGAGACTTTACGTTCGGTGGAATTCTGCTCGATTTTATACTGAATCATCTAAAATTTCGATTTACGTTTCTCGTATCTTAACCTCTTGCGCTGGAAATTTTTTGTTCCAAAATTGCAATATTCTCTCAGTAAACCGAAATAGGCGAAGCAAAGAATAAATTTATTACTTCTCAATAATTTCTATCCAGCGATGTCGTATCGACGAGTTCAAAAAGAAAGCGACGAATTATTGTGTAATTCTTGGTTTGGTCACTCGTTACGGTCCGCAATCAGTTGCCAGCGCAAAAGGTTAAAATCCGCGACGTGTCCTTTGCAATTTTGTAACTAAATTGCAGCACAGTTCAACTCGTTGCAATACTGTTCGTTTCGTTGATCGAACGAATCGAACTTTATATTTTATTTTACAGATGTATATTTGAACGAATCGGTTTGATAAAAAGTCGAGTTTTAAGCTAACGGAAGTGTCAATGCGCGTGTAAATTATTAATTGCAAAAAATTATAACGAAGAACGCGTTAAATTAGTTGAGAATATTGTTTGCCGATGACATAACACGCAGATGAACGTTCTCAGCCGAATATCCCTGTTTGCTGAATAATTCACAAGATTTCAAAGTGTCAAGTGCTAAGCGAGAGCTTCCGACGGAAGAAAAATGAGTTAACCTTTCGTTTTTAACTTTGCCTGTCAAGTTTACTCGTCGAACACTGGAAATTTTATTGAACAAAAAAAAAAAAAAAAAAGAGTTATGATAACACGTTTCTTCGCTAACGAATGAGTTTAATTTCTCAGCTTCCTAGCGTGCAAGAATATTTGAAATACACTAACGAACGAGATGTTAAAGAAAGTACACGACTTTCTCACACCTTTGCGATTTCGTTTTCCGATAGTTTCGAATTTTCGAACGTGTGTTTTCTCCTCTTTTTCGAATACGGTTGACCGTAACTTGTTTTTGAAATAGCCAAGTTAATAAAATCGGGAACGGAAACCAGCAGCGAACGACGCGGTGAACGAAGGACCGAACTGATGCATATTGATCGACTTTTAAAAGCGATTGTCATACACTTGTCTCTGCCTTGTGTCTTTATATATACAGGCTGTCCCATTTGAAACGTCTCACATAATCAATTTTCGAGAAAGTATCCTCGCTTACGCGATACGATAATCATTTTCGAGAAGAACAAAGTCGTGATGGTCAAAGCTTTGAAACAAATGGATTGTTGTGACGAATAATATAATTCTTTTTTACAAATTTATGTTTGTTTAAATTGTCAACAATTTTTCACTGTCATTGATAGAATTATCGCTGCATCATACGTTGTCATTTCAAAATTATTTCAAAAGTTACCAAGAAATTATTGTCTTACCCTCTTCGTATTCGAAATGGTGACTTGAGTTTCGTGTACTGATTTACCTTATCTTCAAAGGATAGTTGCACCCTTTCCAATGTTTCAGAGCGGAGCTGGCTATAGCGCTATCCCCTCCACTGCATCCATTTCCCCCACTTGGTAAAGAAATCAACAGATTGAAAGAGTGGGGCTCATGCACGGCAGTGGAGGGGGTAACGCTAGCAATTAGAAAAGTAGGGAGAGCCTACGGACCGCCAGTTACCCCTCTTCAAAACAAAATAAGTTCTACTCGAAACATCTTTCTCTATAACTTTAATACTTTAGGCTTAGAAGATAATAACTGCGTGAGACGTTTCAAATGTCGACCAAATAAAATATTATTCATTAATATTGTTTTAAAAATCGATCGAAACAAAATACTGTTTCAAAATCTTCGCAAAAGAAAAAAAAAAAAAAAAAAAAATGCTTCGAACCGTAGTGCTTCTCACACTCTTTCACTGAACTACAACAACAACATACAATGTTCTGATGTCTCGACTGTACAAGAAAGAAATTGTCGCGGATCGGCGACCTTGGAAAGACGCACGCGACAATAAAACGAAGAGCAAAATTAAAAAGCCATTTGCCAAAACGGATGGATTAAAGGAACGGATGGATGGACGAATTTTCGTTGGGCTTTCTCGATCATCGATAATCTCGATTTGCTTTTTGTGAATTGTCTGCGCGATCATCTTTGTCACATATACACGTACACACGCGTCCACTCACTGTACATGTGTCCTTTTGTACACGTTGTCGTCTTTGTTCGAAGCGCGTCCCCGCTTCATTATCGGACTGACGCGATGCAGCGCGACCGCGAAGCACCGTGATTTCTCTCTCTCTCTCTCTCTCTCTCTCTCTCTCTCTCTCTCTCTCGTCTCGCAATCAAAGAGCACACTGCTCGAAGCCCGAAGCTTGAAATTCAATATTTTGCACCGCTATTGTAAGCAGGCCGCTGCGTTCCATTGCATAACTCGATGATACGTTCTGTTTACATTAATCTAAGCGATAGCTCATTATATCCGTTTTCCTATCGCGCGACTTATCTGTGCGTGTCATTCTTTTAATCCATCGATGCGAGATCTCGCGGTGTCGAACGTTCAGCGCGAGATACACTAGTGGACAGAGTTATGACACTGAGAAATTGCTGGTACAAAGGTTTTTCGTTATATTCGTCGCAAACAATGCACTATGTGCAAATCAAAGTTTTGAATATTTGAACGAATGTTTAATTGAAACGAAAATGATAAAATTTCACTTGGACACAGAGAGTAATTGTGTCGAGTTTTTTCATTTGTCTATATTGCGTTACAAATTCTTCGACAAAATGAGTTTGTTAACTTGTGTAATTTAATGTTGAAAATTAACGATTAAATTTCAAAATTAATTTAACTTTGAAAATTAACGAAAGAAGTACACAATTTGACGAATCACCAAGTGAGCAAGAAGAAAAATAGAAATTTTGCAGTTGAAGGCAGAGAGTGCGAATTCAAAACGAATTTCACTCAAAGTGAAAAGAAGTCGGTGCGTTGTTTTTTTTTTTAGATAAATCCAAAAAGTAGAGAGAGATGAGGATGAGGTTAAGACAACGTAGGATAAGAGAGACTGATTGACTTTGGGGAGAAAAAAAAAAAATATAAAATTTTCAAAGAAAAATCGCGACGTGTTTTTTTACTAACTGTCTGTTGTTGATGTTGGTAATGTAATAACCGAATGACCGAGTTAAAAAATTGCTCTTGCACAACCAAGAAATTATTTAATCTGAACTTCGACCAATGTAAATATAGAACGATAAATGCGTAAATGTACTGATATGGTATTTAAAATAGGTGGTATATCACCGTTCGGTTTAATTTCAGCGCTGATTCGTGACTGCCAGATGTCAGCTCTTCATTTATACTTTCCATTTAGTGTTCTTCGTCCAAATAATGAATTCTTATACGTGAAATCTACGATTAGATTAGACTAGACTAGAACGTCAAAGAATTTATGGTATAAATTAATATCATCCATTAATTAATATTCGGTTGATTTGCTTGATTCATGAATTGAAATGCTAGTAGGAAACACTAGAACTATCGAAATTTACGAATTTATAATTTTTGTTAGAAATTTTGTCGATACAAAACGGTAGAGTTTTAAATATTGTATTATAAAAATGTTTCTGTTGTATCTTTTTTTTTTTTACTTTACTAATGTCTCAGATGGAAATTTTATATTAATATTGATTACCTTTGAGTTAGTAGAGAGAAAACATAGTAAAATTCTTAGAAAATTTTCAAATTTTCACTATATTGCTCGTAACTTCAATTTTTATTTTTCTACTAAGGTCTTATGCGATAGAGTTCATCACTGTTCGTTCCAAGGCGTGTTTAACAAGTCAAAAATTAAAGCTCAGTCGAATTATCATTTTCAACGTGACATGATTAAATCATATCGTGTAACATCCGAAGTTCTTTCGAAATTATTACATTACAATTGAAATCTGTCTCGTGTACTAATAATTGAAATAAGAATCCACGGCTAATATCGAAATCTTTGCAAACAGCAACTATGAAAAAACGATTACGTAATCTTTCAGTAATTTTTATTGAAGACGAATAAATGTGTAAGTCACTGACATGTCAAGAAAGTTCTGAAGAATTGAAAAAAGAACGTAACATCGTAGATCGATTTTTATATCATTCACCAATTACGACGCGATCGAGTCGAGATTATCAATTATCGTTCGATAGTGAATGGTGTT